ACCATATTGGGTGCCCTGAAGTTGTTTCCAACTTATGCTGCCCTTAAGACAAACCTATCAGTGTTTCCTTGGCAAGAACTATTCATAGGAAGGCTGCCTTTGCCTTCCTCTGAGGGTGAGAGAGCATGACTTCCCAAATGTTACCTGGTGGAGTTCCATGGCAGAGCAGGATTCAAACCCTGGTCTACAGAGTCATAGAACATTTTCATACAGGAAGCTACCATCAGTAAAATGCCCTTGAATTGTCTGAAATCGTCCAAAATGCATGATCGGGTTAACATCTCCTCACCCATGTCAAAATGTCTATAGTCCAACACTTAAACCATTGCACCAACCTGGCTCTCCTGATTTCCTTCTTTGTTGTTATTGTTAACTGCCTTCACGTCAATCTTGACCCATAGCAACCCCATGGATGAGACATCTCCAGCCCCCCCTGTCCTCTACTGCTCTGTCCAGCTCCTGCAAACTCATGTTCGTGGTCTCTTTTAAAAAAGTCCATCCTGGGGAAAATTTCTGCAATAAAAATGTCCATTTTGCCTAAAATGATTTTTCTTTTTCAAAATATTCCTATAATAACAAACGACAAACCATTTCAAAACTGGCATAGAGACATTTCTAAATTTTTGTGGTCTGGGAAAAGACCAAGAGTTACATTTAAAATACTTCAAGATTCAATTGGCAGAGGTGGATTGGCGCTCCCAAATTTAAAAATTTACTATTATGCGAGCGTATTAGACTGGCTTGTAGATTGGATAAAACTGGAAAATACAAAATTATTACCACATAGCTATTTTTATTATTATTATAATTATTCCAATTATTACAATTGGAAGGAGACGATATTAGATTTGGCTGGCACGGATATTTATTTTACAACAAATTAGAGGTGAATAAGGGATTTAAGGACCACTACATTCGGAAATCCTTGATACGAGTATGGTTAAAACTCAAACCTAGGTTATGTAAAGGGGTACCCATGTGGGCCTCGATAAATGAAGCCTTCTTCAGGATGACTCAATTAGACGAAACCAAATGGGTAACATATGAGGACTTATTAGTTAAGAAAGAAA